ATATACCTAAAATTATTATAAATTGTACTCACTACATGCCTTCTCATTGGCTAAGAGCCTACGGTTAATGTAATTTGAAAATCAGTGCAACCTACAGATTAGTTAATTCAGATCTGCTAGCAGATAACTGACTTGTCTGCAGTTAGCGCGCGCAATGCATGATTTGCAAGAGCAACGTCAAACTATCTTCTGTGCGACGATGTGTTGTTATTTTCTTCAAAACAATGAGTGATTAGTTTAGCTTTTTGTGATATCTGGAATAAACAAGGTCTCGGTAAGTGTTATCAGCTAGCGTCAGCCTTCGGCTCGGCAGTAACACCGAGACTTTTGATTATTCCAGATATCACAAAATCTCATTCAGTAGGTGTTCAATATAGGCACTGGTTAACATTTTATTGACCATGTTTGGAAATATGAGTAAAATTTGCAGTAGTGCATGCTTCACGATTGACCAGGTGTGTACTTAAACTTGACTTTGCCCATGCCTGGAGAGGAAAATCTATAAATGTCTACAATCGCACCCATTCACTATTTATGTGTTTTGGGGATGAGAGAAGATTGGAGATTGGAGAGAAGATTGAGGCGCGCGGGGATAAATAAATAGCGAATGGGTACGAGTCTGGAGTAGTTGGCCGAGAGGGAGTGGCAAAATTATTCCCAATCCTCACTTCCGCTTAATATTTACTTCCGTCTTTCTGGGTTCCAGTCCTCCCTCCTACTCTTTTATTAACGCCACGGTTCGAGTACCCGTTACCCGTTCACACTGCGACGAAGAGTTGCACAGAAACCTATCCGATATGAGACGATCCACTTTCTAGATCGGTGCTGCTTCAATTGAAAGTGGCAAGATTGCTTGGATTAACTATGAAATTCTAGTTTTGATAAATTAGACAAAAGTTTCCTTTGCTGTTTCAAAGGTACATTCCTGAATGGGGAAAATTGGTTTGAACACGTTTTTGTTTTACTGAGTCATTTGGCTGCCGAGAGACCCGTTGCACGGTTGTGGGTCACTACCATGGTACTCTTTGAAAATATAATGGAATGAGTTTTTGTGCCTTTATGCTTCTTATGACGTTGTATGGCGAAACAAGGTCAAAAGGTTTTCATCAAACGTCTGCTCGAAAGTTCGGTTTTCTTGCTTGAAAACCGATTTACCTAGCGGGATAATTTGACGACAGAATCAGAAACTTGCCTTAAAATATGTGAAAAACGTCCTAGAATCGAAAATGCTTAGCGCCTTTGAGGGGGGAGGTGTTTGTTAATCAAATATTGACTATTCCAATTCAAGGAGAAGTTGTTTTAAAATGGTTTAAGGCATCGAAGAGATCAACAATCAGAGTAAACATCTCGTTTTCTTCAGGTTTAATACAACATTACTTCTCTGAAGGTTACATCAGAAACTAAACATTGTATCGTGCAACGTGTTAGGATCAAGTGAAAGCAGCTCAACAAGCCGACCCATAAGTCACCCTATGTAAGAGAATCCCCGATAGTCTGGGATTCTGGATTCCACGTCACGGATTCCGGATTACAGGTACTCGATTCCAGTCTTTGTCGGTGGAACTTGGATTCTCAATTCCAATTGCTAGTGGGAGTCTAGATTCTTTGAGCTGTACTCCGGACTCCAAAGCCTAGGATTCCGGATTGCACATGCCAATTTTTCCCAGATTCCGGATTCCGTTACATGGGACGGTATAAGGGATGAACCATTAGGAAAGAAAAGTGGCTGGGTTGAATTTTTGGGAGGTCTATGAAAGTTTTCTTTTTACCCCTGAGGTGGAAATCTATTTTCCTCCTCGAACAGCTTGTTTGATCATGGTGCGTGTGGAGATTTTTTTCTTACTAATGCGTTTCCCTTCCCCCAACCTCCTATACTTTTTTTCTAATGGTGACATCCCTAAATTAAAGCAGTTTCTTTAAATAACTGAGGGATGGCTAAAAGTCAATGGCCTAGAGAAAAGCAATCTAGAGGCGGCAAAAATAGGTCAGATCCTCAATAGAATAAAGATAGCTTGAACGATTGCTGTGATTTCCTAGCGCCAAACCTCAGAACGTTGCTGTATACGTGTTCTGGAACTGATCTATTTGATAAAAAGCCCAACATTTACAACCTAGCACAAATACAACAAAACATCATTAAGTTATTGGAGCGTCCAAAATCTTAATCTAATCTCTTCCACTGTTTGGAAACTTTTAAAGTCGACATCAATTAAAGCTGTTGGACCACCCAACGCAATAGTACACGAAAACGTTTTTTATGATTAAAATGACTCGCAGTAATTAAGAAACAAGATTAAGAGTTAAACCTAGTTTAATGGCAGAACAAATAGTCTGCGAGAGCAGAGACAGAGGCGGACCCAGCTCTACAAGGAAGTGGTGCTGAGAAAATAGAGAAGGAAAATCAATCTTGTTTTCGGATGAAAATTAGATTTCGGGCCCTTTTTCCTTTGTTTGCAGGCATGGAAGGACTATCTGGCAAAGCTTTTCCTAAAAAAGGGTTATTAAAATAAGACAAAAGTCACTCTAATGATTCTCAGACGGTCCAATTCGCCAGCGGTCACTCGCTTCTGTCTCTGCGCAGACTATTCATTGTATCGTCCAAAACTTACTGTTAAAACTACGAGCATATTCATTCCCAAACGTTGAAGGCAAAATGTTTTACTCTTTGTGTGAAACGCTAATAATTTATCCGTGTAAGTTAAACTCGTCTCTGAAATCCCACTTTACTTGAATTTAAAAACAGTTTTAATTAAGTGACACAATGTGTGTCCAAATATATAACATAAGTATAAAATGAAGACTACAGACTGCCCTCAGTGCAAAACATTGTTTTCACCATGCAAATGGGACGTGACAACAATAGTCCCATTGACAAATGCATATGAAATAAATCATATATGAGAACTGCTGGAATGAAATCAAATGAAGAATGATCCTCGCAGTTGTGAACACAATTTATGCAATTGCATAAGAAGCCTGAAAACAAAAAAATCAGGACTTCAACCGGATTTGAACCCGTGACTTCGCGATACCGGTGCGACGCTCTAACCAACTAAGCTATGAAGCCATTGATAGTCCTATTGTTTTCTAACTCTGAAAACAATGGTCTGCAGTCAGTCTGCAGTCTGCATTTTGTACTGTCCACCAATTTACACATTAAGGATCAACAAGGCATGGACATATTCATTTTTTTTAAAAAAAATAATACTAGTTCTGGGAAACCGGGGATCAGTCATATAAAACGTAATACACCCTTTTAACTCAGACCTTAAACCACTGAAATGTGACACGCGGTTCAGAATACTTACAGTGCATATTTTTTAAAATTTTAAAAAATTTTAAAAATTATCTGATTAAAATCTGAATCACACTACTGAAACCAAGGCCACGCTTGTATATAGTTAAGTGTTTCGTCTCCGTCACGTTAGGAGACTTTGGATTCTCACTCCTTGGACGTAAAACCCCCCAACCCCTCCGCCCCCCACCGATTTTTTTTTTATTATTATTCTTTTTAGACGATAAAACATCAGCACCTGACGTTTTCAGTAGCTGTTTGTTTATCCCTCGCGCGCATTTTGAGACAAGTTTAAAGATGGTCAGTTACTATGTTTACGACATATTACGTCATAAGTAGCAGGTTGTCAAGCCATTTTTGAGTGAAAATGCATGTTCTTTCAACTTTTTTCACCAATAAAAGTAAAACTTGTCAATGAAATGACGCACAGGACTTATTCAAGTGTTATTTTACATCTCAAGCACAGAAAATTACCATTTATCGCGATTTTAACCTGATTTCTAATTCTTGGTGAAATCCAAGATGGCGACCATTGTTGGTGACGTCACAGGCCTCCAGCAACACCACCACCCATTAATTTGCCTGTTAAGGCAGGTTACACGTAGAGAAAAAGGGCAATCATCTATACTACTACTCAGTCAGTTTCGCGGGAGTAAAGAAATAATCGTAAACAGCGTTAAGTTCTTTCCCCACCAAAATTATTTGCCGTTTCTTAAGTTAAAATTGATAAGTGTAACCGTGGCTAATTTAAAAACGTTTTTTTGATGTTATCAGAATTAAAGAGATTAAGAGTTACGTTTACGGCAATCCGTGGATTTGTACTACGTTACCAAGTGTTCCCTTTACTTCTCTCTTGCTGTTAATTAAATCAACAAAAAATTATTAGTTTCAAATTAGTTTTATCCATAAGAATTGCTTCGAGCTGTTTTCATTTTATCTGCATATTTTCTATTTTGAGAAATTCTTAACTTGAATCTGCAGACGTTTGCCGTTAGCGTGGCTCTAAATCTCTCTAATATTTTCTGAGAAAAAATGATTAAAATGAAAACACGCTTTTTTACCAAACGTCCCATTGAGGACAGCTATTAAATAACGGACTGCTTTCTTTGGGGAAATCCAGATATATACACGTTACTTCAGCAGTTGTGTTGACATCAAACTTTCAGCTCATCCCTGTAAAGAAAGTAACAATTGAGGCATTAATTCACATTTTTTTAAATTGAATTAAGATCAAAGCGGTAAATTTAAGAATGCTTTGAATGATGGTGTGAAAAATAGCAAAGTGAGAAACATTTGTCATATGTCTTAATTATTGGTCAACATATAGAGCTAGTACTCTAAGAAAACGAAGGCAGCTTAATGCAAAATGTATCTTTCATATATATTGTCCCTAAATAATTAAGAATTGAGAAAATTAAGGGTTATCCAGTGTTCGAATGATTTCTAAACGATTAGCTTGGTAGGAATAAGATGTGATTGTGTGAATCCATTAACGGTACATACTTACCACACCTATCCTTATTGTGTAAACTATATATTTCTCTTTTTACCAGTAATTATCAAGTCTGCCAATGTTCTTACATTTCGAGTTGAAAATAATAGTTCTGACTTTTATTCTTCAGCCTTCTATTTCTAGGACCCTTAATAAAGAAAAGGAAGAAAAAAAGTAATAAAAACTCTCTACTTACGATTTCCTTAATTTTTTTTATTCCAATTCAATCTTAACATCATCACCAATCAGAACAAATGGAGCCCAGTACTTTGGCGCAGAAAAATCGTGGGAGTCTCGAAGACATTTCATGGCCCTCTGAAGAGCAACACTTGCCCTTTCTCCACTTCCAAGTTGTTGGTAGAAAGACTTCATAAACATCATTGTGGCTTCGTCATCAATTGCCCAAAGTGTCGCCAGCACCGAACGAGCACCAGCAAACAAGAAAGCACGTGCCATACTGACCACACCCTCAGGCGATACCTTTCCTTGACCACTGTAGGGGCAACTAAGCACAACAAGCCTCGCTCTCAGCTTAACAGCTTGTATGTCAGACATTTTCAAAGTATAGTCCTCCTCCGTAGGAGGTTTGGATTCCCATCGGGGGTCTGGAGCCAAAACAATTTCTCCAGTCTCCCTCCCTCCGTGGGCTGCAATGTGAACCAAAGCAACTGACGCGATTCTCTGAAGTACCGCTTCTTTGGTTGCATCTTCACCTGTTAAAGTTTGACTCTTTAGAATTTCTCCAATCATCTCCACTTCCATTCTTGCGTACTTCAGAGGATGATAAATGGGGTTCCCCCGTTTATCTGTAATTTTCTTCAAGCAGGGATCTCCAACAAGCAGGGCTCCACTTTTACTGTGGTATTCAATTGGAGAATCTGTGATGACTTTCAAACTTGTCAGTGAGGGAACAGTTCGGATCCTTAAAGTTTCACTCAGGGCTGCCCAAGGAGCTTTAGACAAAGCGCCATCAGGAACTACAATTAGTTCATCACCATCAAGCAAGTCTTCAATGGGACCAAGAACTGCATCATATAGTGGCTGTAAAAAGTCGGTGCTCCCCTGTGATGGCTCCGATGTTTGATTGTCGTCTCGAATACTTGAGGGAGTTGACTCATCACTCAACTTATACATTGCCTGATTTTCGTACCTAATACCGACGCCATAAGTAATGTTTTTCAAAACAGTGTCTAAAAGGAGAGTAAAGGAATCTTCGTGCTCACTTCCAAATGCTTCTAACTTCAATCGCCTAAAGATAGGGTTGCTTTCTTTTCCCAACACCCAGATATTGACTGTTTTCAAATGAAGGGCAAGAAAAACTGTTAAAACAGTTGACTTCCTTGAAATATTTCTGACGTCTTCCTCAGTTTCAATTGACCTGGGAGAAAGTGATGTAAGGCCATAAGCTACTTTTAAGCCATCGAGCAAAGCCTGTGCCCGTCCCCTCTCAGCAGCGTATAAAGCCTCATCATTCCTTTTAAGCATTACTAAAACCTGCCATAAATGAGTATAGGCAAATTGATGTTTCGTACGGAAACTTATTTTCAATTCATCTTCCGAGATAGAACTGGCTCTAATAGAGTCATAGACTTTTACACTGCATCTAAAATGTTCTAAAGCCTCATTCAAAGAATCTGAATACAAAAAAGATCGACCCAGACTGCTATGGGCACATGCTTCTCCCTTCCTGTCACCGATTTCCTCGGCAATAGTCAGGTGTTGCTTGTAACACTCTATTGCTTCCTTCAAGTCGTGGAGATGTGTATAACAACTTCCGAGGCGGCAATAGGCATGTCCTTGTTCATCCCTGTCACCGATTTCCTCGGCATTGCTCAAGGATTGCTTGTAGTACTCCATTGCTCGTGGTACGTCGCCGAGGGATTTATGAACGTCGCCAATGTTTAAATAGGCATGTCCTTTTTCTTTTCTGTCACCGACTTCCTTGGCAATACTCAGGTGTTTCTTGTGGCACTCCATTGCCGTTTGGAATTCATCAAGCCTGTGGTAAGTAGCGCCGAGAACGGAATAGGCTTTGCCTTCCAATCTCCTGTTACCATCTTCCTTGGCAATGATGAGGCATTTCTTGGAGTACTCCATTGCACGTTGGTATTCGCCGAGAACTAAATAAATATTGCCGAGATTGCCATAGCCTTTCCCTTGCCCTGCCCTGTGACCAACTTCCCTGGCAATGATGAGGCATTTATTGTTGTACTCTATTGCTCTTTGGAATTCACTAAGGCTGTGATAAGTAGCGCCCAGATTGCCATAGGCTTTGCTTTGCCCTGCCCTGTCACCAACGTCCTTGGCAATACTGAGGTGTTGATTGTGGCACTCTATTGCTCTTTGGAATTCTTTAAGGCTGTGATAAGCAAGGCCGAGATTGCCATAGGCACGTCCTTCACCTGTCCTGTCACCAACTTCCTTGGCAATCCTGAGGTGTTGATTGTGGTACTCTATTGCTCGTTGGAATTCTTCAAGGCTGTGATAAGCAAGGCCGAGATTGCCATAGGCAAGTCCTTCACCTGCCCTGTGACCAACTTCCTTGGCAATGATGAGGCATTTATTGTTGTACTCTATTGCTCTTTGGAATTCATTAAGGCTGTGATAAGTAGCGCCCAGATTGCCACAGGCTTTGCCTTGCCCTGCCCTGTCACCAACTTCCTTGGCAATCCTGAGGTGTTGATTGTGGTACTCTATTGCTCTTTGGAATTCTTCAAGGCTGTGATAAGCAAGGCCGAGATTGCCATAGGCACGTCCTTCACCTGCCCTGTCACCAACTTCCTTGGCAATCCTGAGGTGTTGATTGTGGTACTCTATTGCTCGTTGGAATTCTTCAAGGCTGTGATAAGCAAGGCCGAGATTG